AAGACAGTAGGATAATTCTGGGTCTTCTGCCCACTGGGCTAGGGCCCGGAAGCACCTAGCTTCTTCGTGGGGTTGTACTCTGCTCAAAGGGGTTTTGTTTTTTGGCGATTCTCCAGATTTCATGTCTCTCCAGGGCTTGGGTCTGGGGCCAAATGGACCCCCACCCCCGACAGTTAGTGCAAACGTGCTCTGGCTGCGGCATGTGGCCTGACACCTTTTAAGGGCGCAGGTTTCTGATTCGATCTCACCTCCAGACATACCGCAGTGCGCCTGATCTCTGTCAGGCTTAATTAAATCCTACACTATTCTAGCTTTTAATTTATTTATGTAAGGCGATTCTTTTTCCTGCCGATTGTAAGACCATCAGCTGGCATCCCCCTCTCCCCTCCTTTTGCTCTGGCTGGATTTGTTCTGTGTTTTCTTTGGGCCATCACTGAAGTGGATGAAAGGCAAATTACGCCGTGAGAGCCCCAGCGACGTGCACAATTACAGAGAGAAAGTAAGACGCACCTACGGACCTGCAGTCCAGCTCGGATGGGTAGCCTGCCACGCAGACAAATCAAACTTAAAAATGAAACTCTTCTCATCAAAGATTATAGAAAGGCCACAGTGTTTGTGTAAAGCAGCTGCAAAGGCAGTGAGCAGGGGTGAGGGAGAGGAACAGATTGGCCAGGCTTGGGTGATCTGGGCCGGGAGGCTGATGTCTTGCTTCAACAGCGAGACCACACATTTAAACCATCATAAAGGGCCAGGTAGGAGCCAGAAGAGACATACTGGGCCTTGACATCTGGTATTTATGATCCATGGAAACACAATTTCTGTAACGTTTATGCTTGGGCTCAGTCTGAAATACCACAGTGATAACAGCACCGTGTTTGACGCCTGAGATTAGAGTCCTAACGGTCTTTTGCCCTTTTGGGGAAGAGAGAATACTTCTAGAATAAGCCTTGGGACTAGAACCAAAACAAGAAGAGCAACGATGAAATGCTCAAAGGTGGTTCCAAAATAGGTAACGCTAATGAAGTGTAAGTGATGGTTAGTTTAATTTAGGCTGGCAAATTTGGTCCCGGAGCTCCAGAAAATGTTGACTGAGCCTGGGTCTTTGCCTGAAATAAACACTTTTGAGATGCTTTCTGTTGATCTTTTACTAATGGGAACAAATGGCTTTAAGGAAAGCCAAGGGTTATTTAGACAAAAAGGTAATTATGCTTTGTCATTAGAGTAACAAACAATGCTTGGGCATTCTACTCTTTCCTCCTGCAGAGGACAGATAGCAACGTTTATACTGAGCCATCTGTGTGAATAGAGCATCCTGTAAGATTTGAAAACCCAAAGCCTGCTTCCTTTCTGTAGCACTTGGACAGGATTACAGATGTAAAAAAAAAAAAAAATAAAATAAAATAAAAATACTCCTTCCTGGATCTAGGTTTTGAGACGGAAAAACAGGGCTGTGCTGGAAATAGGGTCTTCCGGACATGTCTTGTTCCTTAGGACATTTGAGGATCATTCTTGGACCCCCGAGGAAGGCTCCTGGGTTGAGAGAATGCTCTTAATACACCCCATGAATCAGGGCTGGTGGAAAAGCCTTCTACGACTTCTTCTGGATCACCATTTAGAAGCATTAAAGAGCCGGGAGGTGGTATTTCCTACATTTCTCGCCCTCAACCCCCACTGATAGAAATATTTTATATAACTAATCACTAACTTCCCAGAAAGGAGAACTAAAGAAAAATACATGTCAACATAATCTGGCTTTTCAAGTAAGTTTCCCCAAGCCCCTCTCAAAGTTTTTATAGAAAGTTCCTCTTACAAACTGTCCCAGCTTCATGGTTCCAGGTTCATAGTCATCATGTAATCATCTTTATTACTTGCTCCAAAAGGAAGTCTGGAAGATTTTGGAGCCTTGAACATGCCACAAGTTCCCATTTTGTCTGGGAAAGTGCTCATAAACTGGAGATCCACATCCCCACGGAAGAAATAATTTGGTAGGCGAGGGGTATGATGTTGCCGCTTCTTCTCCAAAGGAAGCTATCTGTCTCCGTAGGGCCAAGTACATGATTCAGCTCCCCCGGTCCCAATCCCCCTGGGGTCCCTTGAAAGGAGAGTCCAATCCCCAGGGATTTGCCATCAAGAGAAATTCTGTGGAATCACACTGGGCAATTTAGCACTTAGCAACTTTTGCAAAATCCCACACCAATCATAAAAGTTGGCTCAGCTGCACAAATTGGATAAAACTCCTAACAAGCAGTAATAAAAATGAAAGAAGAAAAAGCTGGCATTCAGCCTCAAGGAGAAAACCCACCTACCTCCCACAGCAGTGCCCTGTAGCTCAGGAGGTGATATGCAAACTTGGGAAACATCAGTTTGTTCAAAGTCTACATTTCAACTTTGTTCTCCGAGGCAAAAGGGAAAAAAAAGCCCAGATGTTTGTATAAAAATATCATCATTTTATTACATTCCACACAATACATTTTCAAATAGTTTCCAATGTCCACAAGTTATTTTGACACACAGGCAACTGAGCAATGCGGGAGATGTCACAGTTCTAGGAAGAGGGAATAAGAATAGGAAGTAAAAATCTTTAAGTTTTCTTGTTTTGTCATTGTTCTTTGGTAATTTTCAATTATTCAGGTGTTTGCTTGCCTGCTAGTTTCATTTTTCAAGACAGGGTCTTTTAAAGATGGGGTATCAATGTTGGAAATACTATTGGATTTCCTATCTTATTCTGGCTTTAATCCCAAAAATGTGGGATAAGGGAAAAGACAATTTCACTTTATTTTCAGTGTCCTGTTTTGCCAATGCCAATGCTATGATTTTCTTTTCTTTTTGATGCCTTCACCAGGTATTAGGGGGATAGCAATTATTAGCATACCAAGGAAGGCTTTTTTTTTTTTTTTACCCCAGAGATAAAGGTTTCCCTCCTGGAGCTGTTGATAGGGAACCTCTACTAAGGCAAAAACATTACCAGCCCAAGCTAGACCTTCAATTCATTCATTCATTCATTCATTCATTCATTCATTCATATTTTAATAGTTGCTATCACCTCTTTGTCTTCTGAGAAGCAACTCTAATCACATGCAAGCATGCATTCACCTGTCCAGTCAATTTTTCTTAGAAGAGAGTGATCCTTTCCCCTCTATGAAATACAGAATTTTGCTTTCTAAAGCTGCGAAGCGTGATTTTATAGAAGAGCTGCCCTTGGAGCATAGTACCTGGATAATACTATGGAAGTTGCTGGGCCAGAGAGAGAGAGAGAGAGGTGACATCCCCAGCTGAACTGCATCATGGGATTCACAGACTTGAGCAGTCTCATGTTTTCAGCTATGGCGTGTACATAAAGATGATGCCACACGGGGCATCAGATAAACACACAGCAAATGCACAAAGCTGTTGTCATCTTCTTTTAAAGAAGGGAAATCCTCAAGGGTATATAGTTACTCAGACAGTTGCTACACTGGCTGGATTTTCCAGGTGTAATTTTCTGACACCGTGCCTCCATGGGGTGCCTGTAGGGATGTCAATCATTTCAAGGGAACGCCTGGCCCCAAACACACAACTGGATATGGACACCTGAGATAAAAAGCCCTTAGTGACTGGCATGGAATCCATCACCCGGTATGCGGGGCCCTTGCCCCTCCCCTTTCTCCTGGCTTCTTTTTCCATCTTCGGCTGGGGTAAGACACTTGAAATCTCAAGGTAGCTCAGGCTCTAGCCTTTCATCTTTTCTTTTCTTGGCAGGGCTGCTGTGGTTGAGACAGAGTAGCTCTTTGAAATAGAATAAGAGTGGGAGAGCACCTTTCTTTCGGGAGGATGAAACAAACCAGATGCGAAAGTGAGTGTGTGCTGGAGGGGTCTGCCAGTATATTCTGAAAGAATGCTAAAAGTCTCTCTCTCTCCCAAACAGCCAAAAAAAATTAATATTTTGTTCTCAGAAGGTACCTGGAGGCTTTCAGCCCAGGCAACCATCTTTGGAGAGAATCTTATCCTTCCCTAGTGGATTCCTAGCAGGAAGGGGAGAAATCAACACCCCCAGGGCTGAGCGTCTCATTACAATATGCATTTTCTATCAATGAAACGGATTTCATGATCGAGTCTATCCTTTGCACAGTATCATTAGGCAATTTATCTCCAACATCCCTCCCCCTGCGTGGTTTAGAGAAGACACATGGGCAGCAACAGATTTATTTTCATTATATCCTCTCCCGATGCAGCAACATCTGGAAATGCCAGGCCAGCCTACGAGGGTGTATTTGCCAGATGCTACGAATGCTTTAAGGGGTAGCATATTGACACATGAAGAAAAAAGATTACTTTTTTATATTCTCAAAATATTTAAATACATCAGGTGGACAGTCTTACGTTTTAGAGGCTCTAGATTCAGGCACACGTTAACACCACGAAAGGAAATCAAAGGATCCCTTTTCCCCCATATTTTACAAAGGCTGTTACAAGGACCAACAGAACACCAAAGAATATGGTTTTTCACCTTCTTCCTCAATTCCATCCCGAGTCTCGGGCACGATAACCCCCTCCCCTATTCCCGGAGTGAGGACACTTTTAAGGGACCACACTTCTGTCCTTCTCCTCCCTTCTCTCCGCCACCTCCTGCTCCCAACATCAAACAGACTACTGCTTTTCCTACGCCAGTCTCCGATCTGTTATTCTTTATGACTTATTCCAAGATTGGACTTAACTGATAAAAGCTAAACATTCATTATGAGCTTCTCTTTCATAAGGCAACATGAGACAGATTTGCTTCAGGGCTGGAAGCAGAGATGGTTCCGCACACCCCCGACGGCTGCTCTCTTGCTACTTCAAAGACTCCAGGAGACACGACGAGGGGTCATGTCTAAGAGCGTTGGGGGAACTTTCCTCTTGGGTCAGATGGGTTGGGAAAGGGACAGGGATGGGAGGGGCCACATTTCATCTCATGTGGCCTCTAGCTTTTTAGGTACCCGGAGATGACAATGGTAGCCAACAGAAACCCAGCCAGAGCTAGATAAGGCAACAAAAAGCTTCAATCTCTTCTCCAAGTAAACAAAACTAGTTCAGTATATTATTTTCTTGTAACATGTACCCCCTGGAGAAATAACACAAGAATTAAAGGGGGTCCTCTCTGAACACACCCACACAATACCCCCCCACAATGAACCAGTCTCTCTCTCACACCCACAACCCCCCCAGCCACACACACAGATATTCACACGCAAATGTATACTATGTACAAACACACACAGCCAGGTTTCCTCTCGAGTCTCCTGGCAGACTGCCCACCGAGAGGAGGTAGGGGATAAGGCAAGGGGAAGAAACGGGGAGCCAGTCTCGGGAAGAAAACCAGCTGAGCCTTCAGTTGTGAAGGGCTGAGGGGTGTGTCTCTTCTCATAGTCCAAGATGCAGCATTAGAGTTGGGGGTGGTTGGTTTGGAATCAGTGAAAAGAAAAAAAAAAAAAAGAACCCGAGGACAATGGTCAGGATGAATAAAAGCTCACAGGGCTTGGGCCCCGAGAGAGAGAGAAAGAGAGAGAGAGAGATGTCTGAGAGTTCACACAGAGACTAGGCGAGGAGAAAAAAGTGCAAAATCGAGGCAACGTGTTTGCAGTCTTTCTCGTTTGTTTTGGGTGCTGTCCTTTGCTTCGGCCTCAGCAGTGCGAGCCGCGGTCTTGCTCTAGTTTAATGGTTAAGGTGGGCTCCACCGCCAGAGGGGCCCCGTTGGTGTAGTGGGAGGTTTTGTAGGTGATGGAGTGATCGGTCTTCTTGGCCGCATAGCGGAACCGGTGGTAGTGGAGCACCAGGGCCAGGGCGACGGAGACCAGCACCAGCAGGGCGCCCCCGGTGGCCATTACGTAATACCAGTAGGCTGGGATGGGCTGCACGGGCACCGTGTCCACTGTGGGCTCGGTCCCTGGTAGGAGGGTGCCCCCTGGTGGAGAGACACAGAAGAGTGTTGCTAGGCTGAGAGCATGCAGACTGATCAAAACTTAATTAAAAAAAAAAAAAAGAAACACATACATGCTTTGGAGTGGATGGGGAAGGGGACAAGGGAATAAGATGGTACTGAGCATTCACTCGTGCCAAGCACTTTCCAATGATTGACATTATTTCCTTCTCACAACTGTATGAGATAGGTACTGTCAGACCCATTTCGCAGATGAAGTCTAAACAGAGGCTCGGAGAGGTTAAATAAACAGTGGTCATACAGCAAGTAAGTAGGTAAGTATGGGAGTCAACCAAGAGCTGCGTGAGTACAAGGCTCTTTACTTCTTTCTGTTAAGCCACAGTTACTCTCCCATGGCCAGAAGCGTTCTAATTCACACACATACATCCACACGTGAACGCACGCAAGTAAATGATGCTGAAATGAGTTCCGGGATTCCGTAAGGCTGATTCTCTGAACGAGTGGGAATATTTGGTCCGGTTGGCCAGCATTCTTAGACAATGTCCTAATTAGGCTGGCTAGACTTAAAGGTGAGTTCCACTTTGGCTTGCCAAAGCTTCCATGCCCATCGAAATCAGCCTGGTCTTGTCTAAACAGGTCAGTTATCACTGTCAGGCCATGACTAACGCATCTTCATTTTTTTTTTTTTTTAAACTGGATAGAGGATCTTAGAACCCTGCTTAGAAAGACGTTGCAACAACAACAACAACAAAAAAATGTGGGCATAAATGATAGTGGTATAAGAGAGAGATAACGAGAGAGAGAGAGTGAGAGCCAAGGGAGGGAGATCATTCTTAATCATGGAAAAGACAGGAGGGACGAGAAGCTAGAAGAGGATTTCGAAGGCAACCACATTCGCTGGCCGGCCTCTCGTTGCCATGGAGATGATGTAGCAGATTTAAGCCCAGGGTAACTCTGGGGAAAGACTGGCTAGGGTCCCACTTGATGCAAAACAGTCCTACAACTTGATTCTCCCAAAGATTTACATCAGATGAGAATCTGGCCCAGAACGGGACTAGGAGCTTTGGAGCCTGCCAAAACCAGACATGATCTTTACTTCTGAAAAATGATGCATGCTTAACCTGTGAAAGCTTGCATCCCTCGTTGCTTACATCAACTGGTGGGGGCCACAAAGAAGCATCCTCTCTATCCTTGGGATTCCCCCGCCCAGGGAGAGCCACGGCTGGGAGGGGCTTCTGCCTTCTTCATCCATCCTTGGTCCTATGCTGCGGGGGGATCTCTCTGCTCAAGATGTAGCCAGGGTGGATTTATATTTCCATACCTCCCCCGCCAGACCTGGAGCCCCTCAAGCAGAACTCGCTCTCCTGTTGAATATTACCTCAAGGTGCGCACAAAGAAGGCACTCTACAAATGCTTGCGACTAAAAGACAGAATTCTGAGGTGAAGACTCCTATGTGGGGGACAGTGCCGCCAAGTCCTCAGCCTGAACCCCAGAACGCCTCTCTTTGATTTGGGGAATGGCTGAGGGGTGGGTCAGACCTTCTGATGTTTTCTCAGAAGTGGGACAGAAATGAGAACCTTTTGCTTATAATATCTTTTGGAGCCTGCCCACCCTCCCAGCCTTTAATCCCTGGCTCCCCCAGTGGGAGGGTTCCCCTTGTGCTAAGGTGTGGGGTCTGTTGGTGGGACCTCAGGAGTGCCCCTGTACTGGAAGAGCTTTGACGGGGATGTGTCACACTATAGACACATCGGTGGCCGCATCGACAGCCCCACTCTCCCCTTTCTACCTTGTCTTCTTCATGACCACCTGCTGTTTTTCCTTATTCCCAAATCATTTCTTATAATTTCACGACTGCAGCTGAGAAAGCTCCTTAACTCCCTCCCTTCCCCTCCTCCCCTCCCTTCTGTCAATCTTTGTGACCATATTGAAAATTATGCGTAGAAACAGAAAGCAAGGCGCTGAAAACAGCTCCTTGAAATGGCCAGCTTGTGAGCCACAGTGAACTGGTGTCAACTCATTATTCAGGTCACCAAGAGTATCTGCTGCCTGGCAACCATCCTGCCGTTGGATTTTCACGTGGGCTCAGAAGAATGCACAAGAAACAACAAAGTACGTGGGGACAGGCCAAAGTTCCCCAGTGCCAACCCCCTCTCCCCAAAGGGCATCCTGGGTTTGTGTCTGATTTCGGTTTTGTGCCAAATTGAGAGCCCTCCTCTAATGAGAGGAAAGGAAGGTGATTTGCTCACAGGGATCAACTCCCTGCCTGAAGCACCTAACCAGACCACAAAGGTGGGAGCGCACATTTTTGTCAAGCGGAAAACAGTCGCAACTGTCCACCTTCCCTCCAAATCACATCGTCTCGGGTTCGAAGGCTTGCTTTCCTTCAGCCGAAATGTTGGTTTTTGACATTAAATACACCCCCTCCCCCCAAGATTCAGAGTGCCAGGGCTGGGCCTTAATGCTCTTCCTAAAGTGGTTCTTGTGATACAGACAATGTTGGGGCACAGTGTGGAGGAGCTGGGGGCCCACTGGAGGAAGGGGAAATCCTTTCCAGTATGGGGATTACACAGTCGGTCGGAGCTAGACCTCTGGCCTGGGTTCTGCTCTGCTCCGGAAGACACACCCGCTTCCCCTTTCCTACCAATGCTCCCCTCCCCCAAGATTATCAACATGAAGACAATTTTCATGACAAAAGCCATTTTATGGACAGCGATGGATGTTTTCCTTGGACATTTGTTTGGAGAAATGTGAGAACATGCTACCTGACAAACTCACGTGTTTTTAGTGTTAAGGAAGTTAGAAAACAGAGAGGGTCCCTTTCACAATTCCCCCTCATCCCCAGGCGATTCTGGGTGACCCGCAGTTGGAGCCAGAGTTTCTCAGAACATTCTCCAGCTAAAGGGTCTCAGCTCACACAGGCAGGTGGATCGTGGGTTTGGAACCTGGCTTTGCTGCAGCCTCCGAGGGCTGTACACCTTATAAGGCTCTGCTTTGCCAAACAGAAGAAAGGTGATAGCTCAATAGGGGTTAAACGTCCTGACAAAGCAGCATTCCAACGAATGTCGGGCAGATGGACAGATGGATGGATGCATGGGGGGGGGGGAATGTATCTGAAACAACATCTAGATTCCCCAGAAAACAATAATGACTCACTGGTATTTCACATAACAGCTATCCTTGGAAAGTGCTAGAGATTTGTCTGGCTCATACTGCACCTCTAGTGAAGTTGCAAAAAAGGTGCCCCATTCAGACAAATGTCACCCATACCAGGTCCCCAGGTTGGTGAGTGGCTCTATTTCAGCCGCCGTTGTCCCCTCAGTCACATGGGGTGACTGGGCCATTGCTTTGCAACAAAGGAGCCTGGACTGGTCCCCCAACATGGGAGAAAGAGTGCGGCTAAGACTTTAGCCTTGTCCAGAGCTGGTCACGTGCTGACCTGAATGTTCCTTTTGATTGCACTAACTCTTCCCACTTACTCATAACACGCCCCCCATTGGAACATGCTTTCAACTGCTAACTGTTTTCCATGAATTACCATCCTCTAATTCTCCACAAAGCTTTCTCATTGTGTGAGATAATGAGAAGCAGATACATAAACAGTAATGCCGAGTGTACTTGCAAGGTTGGGGAAGCTTCCATCTGCGGAAGTCCTAAGCCCCCTGGAGAGGAGGGGGCAACGCAAAGGCAAAGAACTTGAATTGTGACAAAGAGTACATTCTAGGAAGCCATGCATAGGGGGAGACTAAGGTGGATAAAGGACACAGTAGGTAGTGCCCCTTCCATTCTTACTGTGCAGACAGGGTTACGGAATTAGGAACCACAGGGAAATGTGCCGGAAGAGGAGCCGGAGTGAGCGGTCGTTTTCTGGGGGCTGGGTGTGGGGCTGCGGGCCTCCCACGAATCACCTTGCTTATTCCTCCTGACCCCACATGGGACACCTGAGGATCGGAGAGGGAAAGTGATTTTCCCCAGATTTCATCTGCAGGGAAATGGAGGGGGAGGACAGAAGAGCACATGGAGAGGGTGCGGGGTCCTTGGGGGAAGTTCACAGAGCTGACATGTAGCAGGGTTAGGAGCAGAAGCACGCGCAGCGGAGCCCCAGCTTATACAGGAACCCAGGGGTCCGATAACCTCTCTGGCCCATCGCTTAATTTTGTGGCCAAAGCCACCCTTACTACATAGTGTTTAGGGCTACTCTGATAGAGTCTCCCAGAGCCCAACACACTGAGTGTCTCTCCTTCTACCGAAGAATCACACAGACCCCTGTCCTAAGCCCCGGGGCAGGGACAGAAGTAGTCCCCTCACTCTCTGTCCCCGACTTCCACCTGAACCTGCCTGAGGACGGTCTCGGTCAAGTTGCCACTGAATCATGGTAAAGAGAAAGCATCTCTCCAAGCTACATTTACAAAATGTCCTCTGGACCTGGAGGAGTCACCCAGGTCTCCCAAAGAAACGTTCCAAAGGACACGGACGGTGAGGCATCCCTCTCAGAAGAAGGACAAAAAGGCTCAGAGTGATTAAGAACCACTCAGGCCTGGCCTCTCTGCGGAGCCCTTTCTGTCCAGGCTGAAAATGAGGTGCTGGGGAAGGAGTATTTCAGATAAAAGGCTTGTTTAATTTGTGAGATTAAACAAACAAACAGAAAAGGGTTGCCTGCTCTAGAAGGGTTTGCAGAAGGCAGTAGAAGAGTGTAGTCACGCCTAGGGGATCTGTTTGGAAGAAGAATGCTAAAGTACAAAATTTCCCTGAGAAAGGACTCCTCGGTTTGCCTTCTGAGCGGGGCAGGGGGTCCTCGGGAGGCCTCCACGCGGCTAGCAGACACTGCACTGAGCTCCACCGCCTCTCCAAGATGCCTCTGAATTCAGATCTGTGGCTGTCTGGAGTTGCAGACACTTCTCTTTGGTGGCACTCTCTTCTTGGAGAGAGGAAAAGTCGGTGAAAAACAATTGTTCTTCTCCCCTTAGAGACACTGACGTTGGCAGCCGTTTCATGCACGGCAAGCTCGTGGGGAGGGGCGCGTCAGACCCCTCTGTGACAGGAGAGGCAGCTTGCACGAGCGAACCTCACAGAGAATGCCTCAGTGTCCCCTCAGGCAAGCAATGGCAGCCAAGCAGCGAGGCGGTTTACACACATCTGATCTCCATGCTTCCTTGCTCAGCAACACCTAGCCTTAATCTGGCAGCTGGAGATGTCGGGGAGCGGGGGGGCGACGAGAAGGAATCACACACCACAGCTGCCTATCCGGAACCCTGGCAGCCTCTAGGAATACTTCTCTGCCTTTCATCCCGCACCCCGTCTTGGAAGTGCTTCTAGGAGAGAAGAGCGGGGAAGCCAAGGAGAGCGGGAATTTGAGGCCAATCCCAGGTCCTGTGCCCTAGGATGGGGGACACTATGTCAGTTGGCGATGCCTCTGGGGGGCGGTCCGTGGGGAGTGAGGATGGGGGTAAAAGAGGAGAGATGGTGATGGAAATTGGCAGAGATGGACCAGTTGGCACCAAAGAAACAGAACCTAAAACCCGAGGCAAACCCCAGCCAGCTCTGTCGCTACCCCAGAACGGGTCTCTCTCTCGTAAGACGGCTCCCCTCTTTGCCCAGGAGACAGACTGAGATGTTCACTTTCTCCTGGTTTCAGCTGGAGGAAAATGGAGCAGAACTGTGGAGAATGAAACCCAGAGATGGGCCCTATGGCTCTCAGAACTGGTCTGAGACATAAAACCCAGACTCACAGTCATTAATCAGAGATACTGATGTCCCTTTTATCATCCATCAGTGGTAGACACACGGGTTCTGAATCCTTCACGATAACAACCGCCCGTCCTGAGTACACCCGTGCCTGGGATTTCCACGGGTCTCTAACGGGGAGGGTACCAAACCCGATCTCTCTGCTCCTGTGTTGTTCAACGTCCCCAGCCTCTAATGTGAACAAAACCTCTGGCTTCTACTATTCTACTAAGAATAGCCACCTGGTTAACAACCACAGAGCTCTGACCACGGGCTTGCCATATTTTTACTGGCTTCTTTATTCTTCTTTTTTCTCTCATTGAAAAAGAAAGTACTGGTTAAGAGGAAATAATCCATCATCTTAATTATACCATTTTTTGGTTTTTTCTTTTCTTTTTCATTTGTTAAAGCTCAAATTTTAGAAAAAGATACATGACGGCACTATGTTTATAGCCGCTGCTTAAAAAAAAAAAAAAAAAAGGAAGAAAAAAAAATGCACACCCAGGCTACATTGTTTAAAATGTGACTCATAACAACAACAAAAGTCTTCTTACAAATCACATGACAACGAAGCTTATTCATTCTCCATCCTCCTTGTTCCTTCCCTACGCATTCTCTTTTTCTCTAAGGCTTGTTTCTCATCATTAGGGACTCACACCCTGGTTTACAATCAAAGTATACACACTAAGCAGAAAACACAAGGTGATTGGAATAAAAAGAAAATGTTTCATGGCAAGAAATGAGTAAGAGGCAGAGAATGAAAGACACTTTCAAATAGAAAAGATCAAGATATTCCTCATAAGACCCAGCCCAGAGGCCACTTTTATTGCGTTTCCTTAAAGATTTACCTAGTACACATCAGTCTCTCCTAAAGAATGAGATTGCTTCTGTCTCATGCTTAATTTATAATGGAAAAGAAAAACAACCTGGATTCAAAAAAAGCCGTGCTAACAATGTAACCGCCTATTGTTACTAGTGTTACACCATCAACTAACCACATCCTGCCTGCCCAAACCTGGTTTCTCTTTGTTTCCCTTTTTGAGTGAAAAGACTGACTTCATCCCAGGACACCCACACCCCCACCAGGGCTGCCGCTGACCAGGAGAGGAGCGCTGTGCCAGTCACTGACAAGGTTAGACAGAGCAAATGGTTACCCTGGGTAGAAGGCTTTGCTTGAATTCAAAACACAGAGCTGCATGCTGAGGTCAAAGCGGCCTCGGCCCCACAGAAGGCCGGCCCTGAGTTCACCTGGCTACCGCCTCCGAGTTCCAAGTACAACTTGCCAACGTGATAGAAATTGCTTATTTTCAATTCCAATCCTGCCCTTGACTTTACGTTCCTCGGTCAAGTCTCTGCCCCTCAGGACTTGGTTTCTTGCTTCCAGAATGCTCGCTCTCTCCAGAGGCAATAGCCAGGGGCCAGACCATGCCACCGGGAGCTGCTTTTGCTTAACACCGGAGTCAGCCCACCGGGAGCCCGCCGGAGATGCTTACCTTCCAGTCACTAAGCCCCGAGTTTATTTTGGCTAAGTGAGCGCTGCGGCTCTGATGATATTTTATTTATATATTTTGTGCACGAGAACATGACTGGACTGTGAAGCCTCACGGTAAACACAGCCTCAAGGAGAGCACATGTGCCCTGCTTTGTTGATTCTCTTAAGAAGCAAAGCACTTAGCCCCTGTACTTGTCAGTCATGGACCGAGACACGCCGGCTCGCATGCGACAGTGTCTGTGCCACTCCTGGATGTCTTTGGCCAGCCTTCCCGGGGGCTTGGAGTCTTAGTGAGCAGCCTTGACTGGCCCCACAGAGACGTTACCTTGGGTCCCGGAATTCCAAGAACTTGAAAGCAACTGTGATCCAAGTGAGTCACTTCCGACTCAGCTGCCCTGCCCACACTCAGACCCGCATGAACAGAAATCTCACGCACCGAGAGCATCAGCCCACGCCCAGGAACACACTCCTTACTTTCCAGGGTGCCGTGGGGAGTGGGGGCGGCGCTGGGGAGCCAAGGACGGGGGGAGAAAGCAAGAAATCGTATTCTGTGTCGGTCTGTCACTCTCTTTCCAGCCACTCTCTCTCCCCTCCTCCCCCCGCAGCTATTGTCTTAGAGGGTGATGAGTGGAAAATTACGCGCGATGATTTGGAGTCAAAAGCGCATCTAGGTGGCAAACCAGGAATTCGTCTCTTTCTAGCCATGAGCTGGACAGATTAATGAGAGTGAAGATAACGAGTCTAGACTTGAGATATAAAAATGACTTCCCTTATCTCTGGAATGCTGTCACCTCTGGGGTAAAGGCCAGCTGGGGTGAAGAGGGCACAGCAGGTCTCGCAACTGTTTGTATGAAAAACCCCAGGTGTCAGGTGACAGGCAGTGTGGGCGTGTGGTCTGCCACCCCGGCCAACAGAACTGAAGCCCTCGGACAGGCTTCTAGACACTCGGCACTGGCCCGCTGGGTGGGAACTGCACTGGTGCCAAGTCACTGGAGAGCAAGGAGGGCAGGAGGGGAACCACCACCCACGGACGGACCATGAGGCCAGCATCCCCAATTCTTCTCTCTCTGCTCTGCTCTTTACTAGGGAGAAAATGTCCTGTTCTGGTTTTCACGCCTGTATTCAAATGCTCTAACTCTAGCCAGCAAATGTGCCTCCTTGTTCCCTTCACCGGACACTGGCTCCAGAATTCTGCAACTTTTTCTCCGCAGGATCATCGCTCCTCGTGTCTTTTCCCTAACTTTCTACCCTCGCCAAACTGCCCGCACTGTCCCTCACTGCGGATTCATTGAGACTGCTGCCTTGGTGCCCTGCGGCTGGGAAGAAACCATCTTCAGGCGAAAATAAATCATTGCCACCTCATTTCACTTTTAATTTACTACTGATTTTTGTTGTTGTTCAGTCTCTCCCACAGCCTCTCCTTTCTCACCGCTCATGCATTTTCAGCCTCATTGCTCCCCGTTGGACAATGCAAGGCTGAAAGGTTTATCTGTAACCTATTTGTCTCTATTATAGGTTTCGAAACTTTAATTAAACAAGAGACGGTAACGATCTCAATCCTCTTTCCTGGAATCTACAGGTGTTGTTGGTGCCACCTAGTGGCGGGAAGGTGTGGCGTCTGTTTTCTCTTGAGAGATCTGTCAAGTTTGGAGGTGCCTCCCCTACACCAAATTCACATCACATGGGTGGAAGAAAAAGACATGCAAAACAAAATATTCTTTTTACCTTTAAAATTCTCACCTGCAAAAGCTGAGATGGGTTCTGGAGGAAAAAAAAAAGAAAAAAATATTGAGTTAGATAAGGGGTAGAAGTCATGGGGCAGGTTTAAGGTATAATGAAGATGATTTTTTGTAATACCCCATGAAAAGTGTCCCCATGTCTCCTCATGCTTGAGATTGTGTCTAACACATCAGCATCACAGGGGTTGGCAGGGGCAGGGGGAGAGCCCTAAAGTTGCTTTGGAACAAAAAGGACTTTATAGAGCAATGGGTCTCTGAAGCATTGTAATCAGTCATTTACCACTGATTACTTTCTCGGAGCCTGGATTACACGTAGATGCCCGGGGCCTGAAGGGGCTGGGGTGGTCCCAGCTGCTTCTGACATCATGGGGCACACACACATCCAGGACCCATGTGCCAAGAAAAGCACTCAGAAAGTGATCACAGTCACTCTGCCGAGTAGAGCAGGTCCCGTTCCTTCTCAGAATTCCCTCTTGCTTTTGGAAATGCCCATGGCGCTCTGGGAGATGGTCTGGATGGGTGGATGTGTGCATCTTCTGTGGGCTGTCTGCTCAGCACTTCTGTCCAAAGGGACAATCACGGTGTCCTTCCTGTGCTGGTCACGTGGCCTGCGGTATTTAATCTTACAGCTCTGGGATCCTGGGCGTTGAAGCTACTAGCTTCAAAGAAAACTAAAATTTTACCTCACCTGCCATCATTTGCCCTGCAATTCATTCATGTACAGGAGCAACGTGGGTAATCGTGTTATCAGTCTGATATAACATATGTACTATTTTAGCTCACCAGTGAAAGCTTCATTAAAAACATCAAACCCTTGCAGCATGTAATTCTGACTGGCAGCTGCTCTCATTCTCTAGCATTTTCTTTGCTAAAAGCTGGAGTCTGATGATGGGGTGTTGGCACCCTGAGTCTCCGTATACTTAATGCTTGTCTGTTTCTGAATGGGAACAGGAGATAGAAGACTTCACCTCGTTTCACACCCCTCCCATCCCGAATGCAGCCTAAGATACAACGATATTCATAGCCCACCTCCTGCATGGACGGTAGCTGTTCTCCCACTGGGTTCAACTGGGTTTGAAAATGGTGTGCTGCCTCCTCTTATATATCCCTGCCCCTGGTGTCTTATTTGGAAGACCCACAAAGAGACAGATATTCACGTACCCATACAGTTCTCCAGTGGGACATCAGTGCTTATCCGAATGTCGTCAATGGCAATTTCTCCTGAACGTCCTTTTCCTATGACTCCCTCAAACACAATCTAGAAGCCAGGAGAACAAGAGCCATGGTTAACTGAGGTTCAAACCATGCAAAGATTTCCAATTTTCTGTTAACCATAGCTTAAAGTGTGTGTGTGTGTGTGTGTGTGTGTGTGTATGTTACTGTACCTGGTACACATCTATTGACCACATGGCTAGAGTACTTGAAATCTTGATTTAAAAAGAATCAAATGCATATCTAAAGGGATTAAAAATATATATGACAAGGTGTGGATATTGTTGTCCAGTAACTGGAAAGTACTGATTAAAAGGACCAGAATCAAGACATGTTTAAAGGAGGGTTGAAATGTCCCTAGCCATGTCTGAGTTTTCTTTTCCATAAATCTTTCAAAATGCCCAATCCAGGTATTTGGAAATTCAGAGGACATAACAGATGGGAGTAAGGTGAGATACACAGTGTGCTGGGTTTGGACTGCCTTTGGCATAACGTTGTCTTATACCTCCATTATTACAACGAGGAGGGAAAGGATTTTCTCCTTCACCAATACTTGCCTGAACACCTACTATGTGCCAGGTGCAAGGATGGTTACAAAATTGAGCATACGGACCCTCTGCCCAGGGAACCTCACCATCTGGCGGGTGAGACAAAAATGCAAACAGGTCCTTGCAATACAGCGCACTGAGGTTTATAAATGGGAATGCAGGCGGGGTGGGGCGGAGCCCAGGACCCCTTACAACCTCCAGCTCGAGTGGAGGCTGCAGGCCGAAGGCCCTTGGCTCCGTGGTCTTCAATCATTCCTCACGCTCACCCTCCCCGGTTCTCTCCGCAGACGAGCACATGTCCTCTGGCAAGCTGAGCTAGCAGTTGGCTGCCTCACCAGCCATCTGTTGCTGCTTCTTGTCTGGGGAGGAGCAGGTTAATGCCTTGGCTGGTTCTGTCACCTCTTCCACAGTGCGCCTACTCCTACCCAAGCCTCAGCCACAGCTGCGCAAACCCATCTGTGCCTCAGTCTTTCGCTCTGTGGGGCAGAGATAACAGAGCCCAGCTCCTGCAGCTGTGGGGAGAGGAACCCCTTGTTGAGGAGCCTTTCGGGTCTGTGGGCCACTGAGTGCAAACAGCGGCGGCCCCTTCTATGTGCCCACCTGCCCCAGGGCGGGTCTGGCAGGATTTTGTCCTTTCCTTGGAGCACGAGGGGGCTAGGCAGGCTTCCTGCCTTGTTTGTGGAGGCTGGTGTGTGTTTATTTCCCTGGCTTCTGGGCCCCTTTGTCAGGCTACCTGATAGCAATCTAAACTAAACTGGAGAGAAGAAACATTTGTTGGGAAGATTTCAGCAATATAAAAGGCAATAGGAGGAACAAAGAACCAAGTCTGGGTGTAGAGATAGGCACATTTTGAATAACAAATAAGAGTGTCATTTAGTTGCCATGGCAATGTGAGGAACACAATGAAAACAGCGGCGCTTAACCACGTTCCCTAATGATGAATGGGCACGGCCCTCGGAAATCTTGAAATCTGGATCACAAAGATTCCCCTGGATCTCTGTACCTGCTCCCCGCCCATCACCGCCCTACCTGATACTCCATGTCATAGCTGGGCAAGATGATCCGCCCGTGTTTCCACTCGTCGCCCTGGTCCTCGCGGATGACCCAGAGGAGCTTGCTCTCCTGGCTGGCCTCGCGCACCACCTGCAGCGCCACCCCGCGGCCACCGGTGGCTTGGTACTGGAACTCCATGCACACGGGGCTTCGGGGCAGGTGCACGGGAGGGCTGATGAGCCGTGCGTACTGGCCCTCTCTCCGGCCGTCGCTCTGCAGCCGCAAGAAATTCCTGTCATCTGTAGGAAAGAAACCCAGAGGGTCCCGGTGAACACTGGGGAGAGAGACCAGTTTGAGGCCGTGCCCTCCCGCCCCGGGAAAGCCAGAACTGGAGTTTGGGGGTTGAGCTCTTGTTTATTCATGTCCTTGTTCTCCAGGCCCCGTGCTTCCTTCTCAAGGCTCTTTCCGAGCTTGGCTCAAAAGCGATTTCCTTTTGAAGCCTCTTTGGGAGCCTTTATGTCGGGTTGGTCTTTCCTGCCCGTTTCTCCATATCACTTTCTCTGTCTTGTCTGCAGATGGCACTTGGTGCGGTTGGCCTTCCGTCTTGGCTGGCAGTGTCTGTGTCTGTCTTCCCCCCCAGATTCGAAGATGCCAGACCCGCGTCTTATTCGCCATTGGCTCACCCAAAGGACCGATGCCGCCTAATGGACTAGATTATAAGGGGGCGAGGCGGCTGCGAGACCTGTGGAAGATCCCGGCCAGGCGACTTGTGCTTCAAGCCTTTGTCGTCTCGGCTGGGCACTGTCCAAATGGAAGACATTTAAAACAGTCTGTCTCTACCCGTGCCACTAGGAGGTACCTGGGCTCTAGTGACTGTCAGAAGCCAGCATCAACCTAAAGCGGAAGGGATGCTGGCTGTGGTGGGGTGGGGTTAAAGCCAGGGCGGCTGGACACTCTACTTCCTTCCCTGTCTGGGCCAAGGAGGCCAGAACTGGCCCTTTTCAGAAAGCGAGGCAAACAGAGCTCCGCCGAGAACGGGCGCAGTCATCGTCACTCACGAAGGCTATGTGTTTAATAGACAATATATGCTGGGTGGGAAATCAAGGTTTCACACCCCCAATGCTGGGAGGATGGGCCTTATGGCTGGTTACTTTGCAAATACATCAGACCCTGCGCAGACGATGGAGGTCTTGTTGCCATTTGCAGACCGCGTCCCCTGCAGACAGGGTATCGGGGCCTGTCCCTGCAAACCCAACAGGCACAGGAGCATTCCGGCCTCTTGTGCAGAACACAGGGTGGCGTTTGACGATCTCACTACCTCCTCTGGCCCCGAAACCTCCTAGGCTGAACTCTTCCACGAGGTGGCGGGGGCACGTTCACACCACACAGCCAGCCCCTCAAACACTTTAGAATCCCCTTCATCTGAGACGTGTGAACCCAGCTTTCTTATTCACCAGGGACTGTGAACATCCTGGGCTTGTTAGGGGAGAGCAGGCAAGGACCCCAGAGCCCCAAATCAACAGGGTTATTCTCTAGACCAGCGGTTCGCTGTTGCCGCCCCGGCTGACATCATTGTTTGAGCAAGAAGGAACGTGTCGCCGTCCTCCCATCACTGGCCCCCAAACCTCTCCTTCCTTCCTTCCCACAGCCATCTCTCTCCCTCCTTCCTGCCCCCCCAAGCCTCTCCAGTTAGATTCCCTAGGATTACTGCACCAAAAGCTACCCTCCCTTGCAGTCAAATCGGACCAGTTCAGGATGCATAGTTGGGATTGCGGTTTGTCTCCTTAACCATCCAGAACCACACGTCTAATACCCCAGCCCAGGAGAGCCCTTCAAGGCCAGAGTCAGCGCAGATAACTAAGCAGCGGTCCACAGCAAAAAATTTCGAAGGCGGTGATCTGCCAAGGGAGGAGACACGGGGGCCGCAACCAGACAGCTCCAAGATCTTCCAAACCTACGCCTTCTCCTATCAGATCTTATTACTACCGTTATTAATAATAATAAGTCATATTTGCAGAATGCTTTGCAGGTTTCCAAAGCGCGTTCACGAGCATTGTTTCGTCTAATCCTTCCTAAATGCCTTTGAGAGCCCTATCTTCTGACTGTTATTTGTACAATACGGAGAGACGGAGGTCAGTAAAGTTCAAGGGGCTCATCCAACGTGGAGAGGGTGGTGAGGTGCACAGCTGGACCTGACGTCGGATTTTCCGCCTCCCAGAAGTGGGGTCTTCACTTCAGCTATGCCCAGGTGCCCTCCCAGCGTGCAGGCAATCGGTCACTGTCTATTCAAGGCAAACTGGGCTCCACCCCCGACACCTGCCCCTGCTTCCACGTCTCCTTCCTGCCAGCCCACCCCCCACCAACTCTACCTCTCCCACCTCTTTTGCCAATTCTTCTCCAACCCATTCTGGCACATTCCAGCTACCGCCTCTTTTCTCTCCACAACTCAAGCATTTACCGACTGCACCACTGATCTTACCTTATTTTTAAAAAGATTGAGGCCATTTCTCATGCGTTTCAGCAGGTAACCACCCACACACAGCCTTGCACTGTAATTTAACCGTTTCGTGGGTGTCTTTCCCATGGCTCCAGTTAGATGACAGAATCCCAGGCTTACACATGTAAGGGTTAATACTCTGCTCCTTCTCCCTGTGTATGTCACAACTCAAGAAAAGTTTAATCCCACAGATGAATGACTGGCAAACCCACAGATGAAGGAAACATCCGAGGCTCGATATTCTCTCAAGACCCAAGAACAGAGGGAGAGTCAGCTAGCCTTTGGTAATCCCAGATTCAGATCATCTCTTCACAATTCCCTCCCACTGTCCTGAACCAACAGCCCTTTCAAAGGTGAGGTGAGCTGATAACAACAGGGTGACCTGGGGATGCACGTGGGGCCACCAGTGAGAACCCCCATCCCTCCCCCAAGACGCTCCCGTGCTCCAGTAATTTCCAAGCCCTGACTGCTTCCACCTCAGATCGAAAGGAAACCAGATTTCAGAGACTTATTATTCAGCCTTCTTCCTTCACAGTTTCACAAATAAGACCCACTTGCTGCTTGAAAATTGCTTGGCAGAAATACTGTCACTTGTGTGAATTTACATTCTTAAGCGGCAGGGGATTCGTAGCATAATGGTTAGAATTTAGTAAGTAAAATGTGTGTGGAGGTGGAGAGAGCCGCGCTGGCTGGATCTTATCCGGGTCTTTCCATTTAACCATCCTGTGGCTAAAACTTCGGGCCCCATCAGGCCAAAGGTCTCCCAGGCTGCCGAACCCGGACCCCAGCCGGCCCCCTCCTTGCCCCACCCCTGCTCTCGCTCTCACAATAAGACCATAATCGCTCCGCATGATTTAAAGGACCACGGGAAGACTGGGGAGTTAATGCTGGTGGCGTGCTAAGCACGAGCAGCTGAAGGATCATAATTCAGTGCTGACATCTAAGCTAATCCACTAGTTTGCAGAATCTCAAGACAAGCGGGCCTCTGAATTTCACTCAGTTAAATCATCTGTGCCCCACTTGTCTGCTAAGTGCTAGGAGCTTGAGGGAAGAAAGATGATATGTAAATTTAAGGAATTAGCAGTAGACATCAGTCAGAGGGACGCTGAGCCGCAAAACCTCCCTGCCTGTCACCGAGAGGGGCCTGATTAGAGGCAGGACGTCAGGGAGGAATGGCTCCGACCAGGCAGGTCCCAGGGAAGGGACGGGAAACGCGGGGGCAAGAGAACTGGTGTTGGCTGAGAGTCTCCTGTGGGCCAGTGTTGGCGCCAGAAGCGCCGCCTGCTTTCTCTTCCGTGATCGTCCCCGGGAAATCTAGGTTGGGGAAGCAAGCACCGCTTTCTCTGATTTTACCGGAGAGGAAACGGAGGTGGAGGTGCGGAGGGTTGAAGCCATGTGTCTGAGACGGCGGCTAGGGAGCGATGCGGCACCCAAGTGAGCAGGATCGCCAAGAGCGTGGCCGCTCATCTGGGCTGGACCCCTTGTCTGATGCTCACCCATCATTTAAAGCCTCAGTTTCCCTGTCTGTAAAATGGGTATAATAAGAACATTGCTGGAGAGGGCTGTGAGGAGAAGGAGATGGAACAGGCCATGCAAAATGCTTGGCACAGTAACTGGGACATAGTAAGTGCTCATTAAAACCTCTGGTCTTTATTACTACTACTACTATCCCTACGCACACTGACTCCTATGCTTGCCTTTTTTGTTTGTTTGTTTTGTTTTGTTTTTAAAGAAAAGAAAAAGGGTCAAAAAAGCACCAGTCACCTGGGAAGACAAGTCCTAGACTAACGAGGAAGTATGGTTTGGCTGGAGGTCAGTGAAGACGCTCCAACCCCTGCAACCAGCCAGCCCCCACTTGTGCATAATGTGCTGTTGACCACATGTATTTCTTGCCACTATATAGTAGATGAAATGAAATACAACATGATTTTGGAATGAGAGTGGAACCTCAAGAGACAGTTTAGATCAGGTCAGCCCGGCTGCCCAGAGGAACCACACTGAAAATGTCCCCAGAACAGCTGTCCACCCTCTGCTTTCAATCCTCCAGAGAAGAAGTTTCCATAGGTCACATCGGCAATGTGTTTTCTGGATCACAACCCTAACTGTCAGGAACTTCTTAAATTCAGTTTTAAGTTTTCCTGCTGTCATTGAGACTCACGTCATCCTTCTATCCCTGATGGAGCACAGCCAATTTCTGTCCTCTGACTTGGAAACATTTTTCACTAGTGAAGAATTCAGACCCTGGGTCTTCATTTTCTCAGGAAACTCAATGCTTGCCTCTTTAAATGCCCACACTGGGGGGGGCTTTAGTTATGGGGGTAGGTCTATACTAATGCTCCTCTAAGGTAAGTGCTTCCGTTCTTTCAAGTCATGGCACCCGTATATGTGCTGTGAGTTCCCGTAGAACATTCTAGTTTATGGCCTACCACTGCCGAACACAGAGGAAGTTGTAAGCACGCAATGGCTGCTGATTACTTGATCAACTAACGGGCTGGGATGGCACAGGTGGGTCCCCTTCAGCCATTGACTTGGACTTCAAGGAAAAGCCCTTTGGGTTGTTAAGAGATCCCCAGACATGACAATCGACCAGCTAAGAACAAGCTCGCCTGCTGGAGACAGTCTTGTACTCGTAGCTGATGGCAGTGATGCCGGCCATGGAGAGCTTCCAACAAAAAGACAATAGGAAGGAAATATGTTCAGTTGCTGAAAGAGAATGAAGAACTAATGTCCCAGAGATACAATCCCTCTCCTCCTGGACCTGACGTATTTGGGAGGCATTTTGCTAGGTTCTTGACTCAAAAC